CAGCCAGTATGCACAAATGAAACATTCCAAGTTATTAGGCACAGGGTTTAGGCACCCATTCAAAAGAGGATTTGATTTGAGATGATCTCTTCTAATACTGATAAAGAAGATTTTTCAGTGAGCTCCAACCAAAATATATGGTCTATTATGATCTACAAAAGCGTTTTCTACAAAACTTTGCTCATTTTCACTGTACCACCTTACCCCAAAATCAGACACAGTTATCAAAAAACCTGAAAAACCACTSTATCATATTTCCAGCCCTTCCACTTCCCACACACAAATATTCCTGCCAATCATGTAAAACAGCATAACTCATGCCAGCAGGGACAACAAACCCAAGGATGCTTTCTGCCCTTTGTTCACCCATCATTAAGGTCCTTAGTTTGCTCTTCTGTGGACTGTTTTTTAAGCAGCCAAACAGAACATCCTCTGCGGATGCAGCACCGTGTTTCTGACACATGGGGGGTAGTGATGCTCTAGCAGCTACTACTGAACTTACACTTGCTCCACAATCCACCTGTCTCAAAATATGAACATACAAACTTTGCTTTGCATCACTAAGGACAGACAGACCAAGAACACGAGCTCCAAACCAGAAGCCTCTGAAGATTTTTCATCCCCCCACACACTAACTGCACCTTYGAACCCTGTCACAGAGCAGCAAACCATGGCTGCTTCAGTCTGCCCCTACAYAACCTACTGCTCCACAACACTGAGCTCAGGTGAAGGCTACAACACAAACGCRAGCACAACAAACCACCCAGGAGCAGTGTCACAAGCCAAAAACTTGTAAAATACATATAYTTCCTACCCCACAGTCTGGCTAGGGTAAGCCACATCAGCACATAGTTTTTCAAAATAAGTTGCCAGMAGTTCACTAGGAAAGCTTTCAAACTTCAGACTTAGCTAAACAGAGYACAGATATCACCGGTATGCTGCTTTCCCTCCACTACCAAGAGTGTTCTTGAAACACTTTGTTTCCTGTACAGCAAGAAGAACTGACAGGTCAAATAAAAGGACTGAAGTAGAAAAAGTCAATGTGTGATACGTGTCATCACTGCCAAATGTCACTGCACTGCTTAGAGACAAGTTTTTCTAGGCTATGCAGCCTCAAAAGAACCCGAGCTTGCCCGTGAAAACCCTTTATTCATGGACAATAAGTAAAACACATTTAMACTCCAAAGATATTTAAAGTCATTAAGAGCAGGTGAAAAGTAAGAAAACCATTCTAATTTATGCTAATCCCAGCAAAACACTCAGAAAAGGGCTCCTGTTCTCTCCCTCCGCAGTATCCCAGACTATTAACATGTCTATCAGCAGCATGCATCCCAGGTTTTTATTTAAAAAGGAAGACATCTGGGGAGGCGACACAGCAGGTATCTGCAGGGTACGGTAGCTAGTGCTCCTTTATCCAGGTTATTTTCTTCCTTGACYAAAAACAGACCTGCAACTCGAGTTTCTTATGGGCCCGACAGCAGAGTGCATCAGCCTGTCCTGTCATTGGATTTACTACACACAAATTTCACCGGCAATACAAAAGTGACACTGCCCCAGGCAGAGACCCTCTGWAGATTAAAAGCTATCTTTATTCTTCATAAAAAAGAACAGAACATGCTGAGTTGGAAGGGATTTATCAGAATCAGCGAGTCCAACTCCTAGCCCTGCACAGGACACCCTGAGTCACATTATGTGCCTGAGAKAATTGTCCAAATACTCCTCGAACTTGTGCGTAACCATTTCCCTGTGAAGCCAATCATCCTCCAGGTGAAAAACCTTTTCCCGATACCTAACCTGAACTCCCCCGACTTAGCTTCCTACCTTTTCGACTCCTCCTACTTCTCAAGCTCAGACACCACMGAACATAATCCTCCCCACAGCAAATTCCGTGAGAAGCAAAGGGATATTCTAGGCTGGGAAGAAGCCSCGGTGCATCACACCTCTCACTGACACTCAGCTGACACAACATGATGTTTACAGCACACGGCAATACTGCGACTGCAATCCGAGGATTCGGCTACACCGAGTTACGGTCTTAACGCACGCACCGCGCTTTAACTCATAGAAAAGACATCCTTAAAWAGAAAAATAAGTAAAAGGGATCTGTAGTTAGGCGCACATCACACCATTTGTACACAGCGGGACCAGACACCGCCCCCGCCGACCGGCCCGGCCCGTGACGTCGCCGAAGCGCCAAGTAAACAAACAGGGCGGCGAGCGGGGCCAGGCCGGGCCGGGCCGAGCCSAGAGCGCTGGGCCCCGCCCGGGACACACAACTCGCCCCCGCCGCTCACCCCTCGTCCTCCTCGTTCTTGCTGGCGTCGATCTTGGCTCCTTCCGACTCGATCCCGCCGCCTCCACCGCCGCCTCCGCCTCCGCCTCCCCCATCGGTGCCCCCGGCCCCCGCCTGCCCCTCAGGCTGCTCCGCCGGCTCCGCCGCGCCGCCCCCGGCGCCCGCCGCCACCGCCGCCGAGTCAAGAGCGAACTGCTGATCCGACATRGCGCCGCCGCCGCCCCGCACCGGCCACCCCCGGTGCTGCCGCCTCCCCGCCGAGGCCCCGGCCCCGCTGGCGGCCCCGGCCGAGCGCGCCGATACCGCCGATCCCTCCTCCTCTCGCTCCCTGTTTTTAATGGCGCCGCCACCGACCCAACCTAAAATGGCGGCCGGAAGGAGCGCGGCGGGCGGGACACGTGACACCGCCCCCGGGGAGCCGTGAGGGAGCGCGGGGGGAGCTCCTGCACGGCCCGGGGAGCGCACGGAGCCCGGCGGGGCCCGCATGGAGAGCCACAGAATCGATAGCGCTGCACGGGGCCTCTGAACATCAACCAAGGCAGGGTCACCTGCAGTGGGTGACACGGGATCTTGTCCAGCTGCGTCTGGAACGGCTCCCGAAAGGGAGACCCCACAGCTTCCCTGCGTAGCTGTTCAATGCTCTGCCACCCTCAGCTTAAGAAGTCTTTCCTCATAGTGAGGTGGAACTTGTGTTTCAATTTATGGCCATTGCTCCTCACTCTGTCACTGGGCACCACTGAAAAGTGTCTGGCACCATCCTCTTGGCACCCACCTTTGAGAGATTTATGCGCATTGATGAGATCCCTTTCAGCCTTCTCCTGATTAAACAGGCCCAGCTCCCAATCTCTCCTCATCAGTGAGCTGCTTCAGACTCGGCTCCAGCCTCATCATCATCTTTGTGGCCCTCCACTGGAAGCTGTGCACTATCTCCTTGTCTTCCGTGTCCCGAGGAACTCAGAAGTGGACATAGCACTCCAGATGCCCTCACCAGGGCTGAGTAGAGGGGGAGGATCACAGCTTGAAGTAAAACTTGGCTTTGTGGGGTTTCCTATGTTAACAACCCCATGTAGCAACACAGCCGCATCATAGTGACACGTCTCCAGCCTGCAGCTGCTGCTGGAGGACACTGCTAGATCCAGCTGCATTCCCAAAGTCAATGTATGAACTCACACACTGCTCTGGCTTCTCCCAGCAGTCCCATGCAGTTTCTTTAGTGAATTCTAACWAGCAAGGTTTATTTTGATGCTTGATGAGGTACTTGTGCTGAGAAAAAATCAAGACTTCAGGCAGACTGCTTTGGCCTCAGACAGAATGTGTATGCTTTTACCTATCCCAAGAATTCTCCTAATCCAAAAAGAACACGCTGGGTAATGCAGCATCCAGCAATCAGTCACTCGGGCTTTTAGTTGTTTGCTTGTGTGCACTAGATGGGAAACCTGTTCTCTGATGCAGGGTAGAAGAGTCCAGTACAGGACCTAACTTGTAGATGCAAAGTTGTACAGGAAAGACTTGCTGACCCTAAAGTTCAAGAACTTGTAATGTCCTGCTTGAAATCAGAATACACAGGAATTGTGTAGGAAAGTAATTAAGCTAGATTCTAGAATAAGTTTTAAGTGCTTGAGAATGGTTTTAAGTGTTTAAAAAACTTTGAAAATCTCCAGCTCAAAAGTAGTGCTCTCAGCATTAAAAAGGTACTGCTATAGTTCTAGATTGGCAGCATTGTGCCACAGACCACTCTCTCCTTTCTGCAGAGGGCAGGACACAACTCTGCCATCCTCCAGAATGATGATAGCTCCAAGCACTATGGTGCTCTTTTCAGACACATCAAGAGAAAAAGTGGGGTGTARAGACCTGTTTTCACAGTAATCTTGATTTCCAGAGAGATACCTGCCTTTCCATCCAAGTTAGTAGTTACACCACTTTAAGGTGACAKCAAGACTACACACTCACTTAAGTAAGCATTTATTAGAGAATCCTTTAACATGAAATTATACAAATAAAGTTTGTATAAACACAAGTCCACATTGTGTCATAACATGAATGGCAAAAAGAAAAGTAAAAACCATAAAAGAAAACTAGTCGGCCGCTATGTACAGTTGGACACAGTTGTGTCATACACTAAAAGTCTTTTACAAAATAGTCATTTCTTCTCAYGAAGACCACCCTCCATTCACTCACGATGCGTTGCAAGATGGCTTTTGTTGCAGTATCTCTACCTAAAAAATGAAGACAAAATGCATGTCAGATCTGTGACAGTTACTACAGAATTGTTAAAAGGTCCATTTTCATGAACTGCTTTAAGTCTTCTATATATTCCTTTCTTCACTGTTAAAGATCATATGCATATTTATGAAGGTACCACAAGAGGTTTATTTATTTACCCATCAGTAATTTATTTTCCCAAATACTGCCATTCAGCCCATCTAAGAAGCTGCTCCAAAATAACAAATATCCATGTCAGACAAGTAAGCAGGCTCTGGATGACTTTCCTTTCCATTGGAAACACTGCCAAAAGGGTTTCTGATTATTTGTTTAGACAAYCAAATGACTTATGTACAACAMAAGTCAGRTCACTTTAGTTCAGACAGTCCATAWGCATATGATCTTTACTGTTTATCCAGATTTAAAAGTTCGTTTTGGTTTGCAGATTTCACTATTAGCTATAAAAAGAAAAAAGCAAGCATTAAAATCTTAAAGAATGCACATTTAAAATGAGGTTCCACAATTGAAATACAACACTAAACAGAAGACCAAATGATTAAGCTGTAAAGGCATTTATGTACTTTAACTCCTGTAAAAAACCATTTAAGTTAAAAAGACACTTTAATCTCCAAAAAAGATTAAAAAAAGAAGCCAAAGTCTGAAGTTTTCCACTTTAATCTTTACGCTGGTACATGAAGTTGGAAGAGACCATACCACAGGACAGCGTTTTCTGGTGTATGCCTTGCGCTCTGCCTGCAACGTGCGACCCCAGAGATAGACGTGGTCAGGGTGACACACGGCCTGCAATGAAGTTCCCGCTGGCGGGTACAAACAAGGTATAATGTCAGAGTTAGAAGACAACATTCTTGTTTTCCTTAAGTTGTACCCATTTCAGTACTTTACCTGTTAATACTTCTAATAAGTTTAATTATTCCTCTAGAYCACCTGGTACACAACGCAAACCAGAAAAACTCTTATGTTTTTCTGAAGTACTAAAGAAGATAAAGTCACATTTTTACAAAGTTAAAGATCTATAGACACGTAGGCAAAGCTGGTTTAAAAAAAAAAGGTATTTTTTAAGTTAACAAAAGCTTAGTTAAAGGAAAAGTCATGCTAGGCAAGTTTTTACTCTTCGTTTGTCTATTGATCTTTAAATTAGATTAGACATAGTYGGAGTGGAGCTTGTGCTCATGTACACACCTGTTTGTCAGGTACTAGGTACTGCTTTAGTACGGCTGGTAGTTGTTTTGGTGGTTGCCGCCGCCACGGGACGCCTTCCCATACGTACTTTGTTGGCCTGCAGGTAACACAGGGGAAAAAACAWAACAATCAGTTTTAACATTCAGCTTCAGAAGGAGACTTCACACACAGCAGCACACTAAAAAATCTTTAGAGCTGTGTGCTGAGTAAGAGCAACTTTCCAGAGAGGGGATGCATGCTCTTGTTGTTATCAGGAATGAGGGCAAAACCACTTACCACTGTAATCTGTGTATCCTGGCCCGTATCCATAGTTAGGATAGTTGTACCCAGAGTAGTCGTAGCCTCCATAGCCACTGTAGCTCTGATCACTGTAAGCGCTATTGTAATTTCCATATCCTTGATCGTAATAGTTATTGAATCCTTGATTCCAGTTTTGTCCCTGACCTGAAATCAAGTAAAGCAAGTGTAAGTTTCAAAATTTATTTCCCYCCTCTCCWGCACCACTTCATCTAACTTTCAATGGCAATCTTTCTACACTAGAGCTATTACCCAAAAGAATCCTTCTACCTCCCCAAGAATAGTAATTTAAAAAAAAAAATTGAGATATTCCATTTGGATGCGAGAATAATCAGTAATTGACTGAGCACCAAGTGACACCACAGGACCACAGCCTTACTGCGTGGTGTTACTTGTGACTGCTTGACCTTTTAAGATTTGAGATGCATTAAAATGTAACAGCACAGCTGACTCCTCCTGATCCATGTGAAAGTGCAGYAAAGTGACCACCCTCCTCCTAAGCAAACATGTTGCTCAGGGTTTCTTACCCAGGAGCCAATTAGGTGTATCCCTTTTAAGTGGAAGTGTAACTGCACTAGCTACACTGTCCACTGTGGGTGCACAAAAACACCCTGTATCTGTCTTGCCACTTCACTGGAATGCAAGCAGAGMAAGAGGAAATTCCTCAGCCCAAACAAGCACTCAAAACCACCAAACCACCATTTACTAACAGGCTATTTTACACATTTGATTTAAACATGAAACCTGAACACCGCCTGAAACCTGGAATATCTACAAACATCTGAGTGTCTGGTAAGACACCTAAGCACATACATTAACAGAACCACTGAAAACACTYACCCCGTCCACGCCCCCTTCCACCTCCACGTCCACCAGAAGAATTGCTCTTCCCTCCTTTCTGCTGCTGCTGCTGCTGTCTGTACACCTCTTTGGGCTGTGCTACTTTGATCTCACACTGTAAGGACAGAAATGCTTTAATCCTCAAGAATTTCAACAGCATTTTGTGAGCTGCTTTCACAGAAGCCTACAGAGATACATTTCACATGCAAAGAACAAAAGTTTTCCTACCTTGCCTGAACCAATCTGGTGGTATCTGCTCTCCAGTAACTTCTTTACTGGCTCTTCATCTGTGTATGTGATAAAACAGAAGCCCCTCCTCTCATTCGTCTTTGTGTCCATTGGAAGTTCAATGTTTTCAATCTGAAATCAAAATGAATATAAACAATGCGTGAAATCTGAAAGCAACTTTTTATGCCCCAGAACCATCTGGCAGTACAACATCTATGGTGACTACTTCAGGCAGCTATAAATCTACCATTACAATTCCATGAAATTATTAACATTTAGAATCCATCATCTCTAATTCTGTATGAGCCTGAGCCAACTCCCTCCTTACAAATTCTGTCTTAAGAGAGAGGCAAAACCACCCTTAAAAACCAAAAATGTTCTTATATGCCAATATACTGTACCTCGCCAAAAGCACCGAAGTACTCCTTAATCTGTTCTTCAGATGTATCTGGACTCAGCCCACCAACAAATACTTTTTTTGGTGGCTCTTTCCCTTTCAACGCTTTGGCCCTTTTAGGATCTATTAACTTCCCATCCAGTTTATGCTCCTTCAGTTCCAACACCTAAA